CCTTCCTTTATAAACCTTAATGGGACTATACTTTTTAAGTGGGAGGCATGATCACAAAGGATCTCCTTTTTCTAAAGGAAAAAAAAAAGCATATGTATCCATATTTCTTTTTTATTTATTTAAAAAAATTTTTTTAACGTTTATTTATTTTTGAAACAGAGAGAGACAGGGGCGCCTGGGTGGCGCAGTCGGTTAAGCGTCCGACTTGAGCCAGGTCAGGATCTCGCGGTCCGTGAGTTCGAGCCCCGCGTCGGGCTCTGGGCTGATGGCTCAGAGCCTGGAGCCTGTTTCCGATTCTGTGTCTCCCTCTCTCTCTGCCCCTCGCCCGTTCATGCTCTGTCTCTCTCTGTCCCAAAAATAAATGAAACAGAGAGAGACAGAGCATGAATGGGGGGAGGGTCAGAGAGAGAGAGAGGGAGACACAGAATGTGAAACAGGCTCCAGGCTCCGCTCTGTCAGCCCAGAGGGGCCCAACGCGGGGCTCGAACTCACAGACCGCGAGATCACGACCTGAGCCGAAGTCGGAAGCCCAACCGACTGAGCCACCCAGGCGCCCCCATATTTTAAACCTGCCATCACTGTAAGATATTTTTAGTATTTATTCATTTGCAAAAGGAGGCTGGAGCTAGATTTTAAGGTATCATTGGTCAAGGCCCTCTTAGTTTCTGGGATGGGTTCTTTTTAGTCTCACAGACAAGAGACCAAAGGCAAACATTTTTTTCCATTAGTGGAGGAAACTGAGCACTTAGCTAGTCCTTAGTCCCTTTGAGTTTTATTTTCCCTCAACCTCTGCTTGGCTCTCTACCCTCATAATGAGTTTCTGGGTGGAACATAATTGGGGGCAAAAATAGGAAGAGGCATGCTTCTGCTCTTTCAAGTAGAATGCCTTATCTAGGAATGCCATACCTGGATGCAAAATTTGGGCACTTTTATCTAGTGTTGAGCTGGGTTCTGGTCTTTAGGTAAGGTGGGTTAAAGAAATTAATGACTTTCCCCTTTCAGCTCCAACCTTAATTTAAAAAGTCTATGCTTTTTTACTGAAATAAGATTCTCATTATCAGCTCTAAAGTTACCATAGGGGTAACTTTTGATCTTATTCCCCCAAGGCATAAAGGTCTTTTTCTCTAATTCACTGCAGGGTGTCTGCTCTAATGGCGGATGGCAGGGCATGACCAGCCTCACCATGCGTTTTGAAATGAACAGCTGGCCCTGAAAATAATCTCCAAAACAGATCAGGCTCTGAAATTTCTGCTGTGAAATATAGCACCCAGGCAGCACTGGGAATGGCCAACAACTCATTGCCCAGCTAGCCATGCCGAGCGGGAGCCTAAGAAAATACGAACATTTACTTAGAGCCAATACACAGATATGATTCCCATGATAATCATGCAAGGGAACTACTAAAAGGAAATGGTAGCCACAACAGTTTTTAGACCTTTAAAAATGGTTAAAGATTTTTAGATGTATTTCCTTCTGAGAGAACTCTTTCATGTTTCTTAGACGTCATCATGAGTTGCTTTAATCTAATTTTTTTTTCCAGAAGATTGAAACTAGTAAAGATGTTTATTTTCAAGCAGGGCAATCAAGTCAGTGTTTCTTCGACCCCATCAGGATCGTCAAGGAAAGGAACTGTTTAGCTCCCTGCCATTTCGGTTCACTAGTTAGTTACCCACTCACTGATGCTTCCATGAATAAGCTGGAAGGAAGATCTTACTTTGGGAGTAGAGGAAAGAGGACCTCGAAGGGGAAGAACTGGCAATGAAGAAGCCCCAATAATTCATATTTCTGGACTCAGTTCTTTGGGACGTTTTTGCCTCATGTAAAGAAACATTGTCCCAGCCAACCAGCTTTACTAGTGTGCTGCTCCCCAGCCTTAACTTGAATTCTACACAGAAGTAGCTGAGAAGGCAGTGACCGTCCATTACGTCCTATCTCTCTGCATCTGGATTCAAGTCCCAGGCCTATCTTCTAACAACGTCCATTTCTCCTTTTAAGAGTCCTTTCCTTTTGCAGGAAAACTAAGGATTTACCTCAGTCTTAGAAAAGCAGGAAAGTTAGTGTATTTGGGGGCTGTGATATATGAATTTTCCTAAAAAGTTACATTATTTAGCAATTGGAAATACGTTGACTCTAGCTTTCTTCCGTGGACTTTGTGTGTGTCGTTCAAATATAGTAATATAAATATATTACCATTTTGATCATTTTTAGGTGTACAGTTCAGTGGCATTAAGTACACTTTATGTTATTTTAAAAATCCTCCACTGCTCTTCATGCAGAGGCTCCTACCTACTTTTTGTGTCTAAGCCACATCCTACAGACAGTATTTAGGAATCCTTCATTTCTCAACTTCACTTTAACAACATTATAAGAAATTTATCATGCCTTTAAAAGTAGAGATTCTAGGGTGCCTGGGTGGCTTAGTCAATTAAGCATCTGACTCTTGATTTAGGCTCAGGTCATGATCTCACGGTTCATGAGTTTGAGCCCCGCATCAGGCTCTGTGCTGACAGCGCTGCGCCTGCTTGGGGCACACTCTCTCTCTCTCTCTCTCTCTCTCTCTCTGCTCTTCCCCCGCTCACATTCTCTCTCAGTCTCAAAATAAATAAACAAACTTAAAAAAAATAAAAATAGAGATTCTAAAATGGAGCAACTCAAAGAGTATGTTTCTTTTCTTACTGGTCTATTCCTCTTCTGAACTTTTATCCACTAAAGATAGCATTAAGGTTGATCTTAAGCTTGCTCTCCCTCAGTAAGTGATTTCAATGTCTTTGTCTATTAATAGGTATTTTTGCCCACACTTTAGTCATGGTGGTTCTCACAGTGTTTCTTCTCTGAACCCCCTCCAAGGTTATTTATATCTCTTTAGTTTTGAAAGTAATGTCTATAAACTCAACTTAAAATAAAACCAAACTCACCGAGGGTTTACCAGAATAGGTTTCTGGATCGGGGTCACTAGTGTGAGAAGGAGTTTCTGTCAAGTTTCACCCTTTCTCTTCCTGTGATTTCTCATTCTCAGTGCCTCTGTCCCTCTGCCACCTCATATTCAGTCTTAAAACTCCATCCAGTCTAAGAAAAACACTTCTTTCCTTCATTCCTTACAGTTGAAACATTATGGCAGTAGGGTATAAGAAATGGGAATGTTAAACTACATTTTCCAGAGTGATTGGGTTTAAAATATCCTGAGCTGTTGGTTGATTTCCTTTTTTGTTCAGAGAGTGTTGACCAGACTATTAATGACATCTTAATGGAGGAAATGGCACCCAAACAAGAGCAAGGTCGATGTCAAGCCCATCTTGGTGTTCACTGGTGCTTGTGCCCCCTTCCAGCATGGTTCCGTGAATGTGGGTCCAGAGTGGATATTTGTTGGCTGAATAAGTGAATGGAGGATAGATAGGTTTTAGAGAAGTGACACTTTACCCCCTAGTAAGCTAAGTAGCCCAGAAGTGGAAGTAGAGGCAGGTATGGTAAATTAGAGTGAGGGTAACGTTTGATCTAAGGTGAGGATGTGGGCCAAGTGAAGAAGATGACAGCCTGAATGAATTTGAATTTGATCATATCATCCAGGCTGTGACAACCCCAAATGATTTACAAATGGCTTGTAAAGAAGGTATATCATCATAATCCTAAACAGAAATCAATGAAGTAATTAATTAATTGAAAGGAAAGTGAGGAAGGAAGGGAGCTCTTTTGCCTGCTCCTACCTGCATTTTTTGCAGGCCTGTCACCCCTCCTGGGCACGATCCTAATTGTTCAATGTCTTCCAAATACACTATACATGGGTATAGCTATACCCAGAACAAGGCTGTTTCCTTAAAACTACACTTTGTCCTAAAGTTATTCCTTTTAAAAATGCACTTCATGTGAAGTTTCCAATTTCTCAGAATTGGAAAACCTTCAGCTTACCTTGTCATATGCATATTTAAGCCACAGTCACCAAGGACTTTGTAGTCTATACGTGCTTCAAATTACTTGGATAAAATACTATACCCCAAGTCTAAGGGGCTTATAGGCTTCATTCCCCAAGGGAACATTTGTGTTTCAAAAGAGGGTCTCATTAACTAAGGGAATCAACTGATGGAATGAATTCGGACCCTTCTGTGCCAATTCCAAGCAACCTTCTCTCCCCACCATCAAGCTGGAAACAGAGGAATCAACAACTTGGTATCTTATCTGTTGTCATCCACAGGAAGCCAAGATAGCTTCTTTATGGAGAAGAGTCATGATAAAACTGTTGTAGAAAGTTTACTAGAGAAGTGATGTTTATTCTAGATTTATATGAGGGCTCTGAGTGGTGATTTCTACTGCTGCTGGTCCCGGACCTTATCGCCATTTAGACTGAGTTCAATGGAGAAACACAGGTAGGCTCTGAGCTCAGTATCCCTGAGGAGTACCACCTGATTCTGAAACATGTGCCAGGCATACAGGATACAACAGGTGCAAGGGATATAAGGACCAGTAAGGTCAAAAAGGGTGATCAAGTCTACTTGAGAGAAACACCGATGAGAGGGTGACCAACTTTCCATGGGGGAATATAGACAAGAAGGTCACCAACTCAGGGCGCCTGGGTGGCTCAGTCGGTTAAGCATCAAACTTTGGTTCAGATCATGATCTCTGGGTCTGTGGGTTCAAGCCCCACGTTGGGCTCAGTGCTGACAGCTCGGAGCCTGGAGCCTGCTTCGGATTCTGTGTCTCCCTCTCTGCTCCCCACCCCCCACCCCCCACCCCCCCACTCACAGTCTGTCTGTCTGTCTCTCTCAAAATTAAACAAACATTAAGAAAAAAAAAAGGTCACCAACTCTATCTGAGAGAGCTGGAGAAGGTTCATGCAGTAAGAGAGACTGGGCCTCATAGCATTTATCATCTTGTGTGATTATAAAATCTACTGTTTATCAATCTGGCTTTACCACTCTGCCACTCCTTGAGGGCAGGGGTTTCCTGTTACATATTTAAGAGTAGCTTTGTGCCCTGCTTGGCATAGAGTGACCATTGATATAATTACTTTTGAAAGAACAAACTGAAATATGTAGAAGAAATGTAGAAATGCAAAAGGAAAGGGTTAGGTGTTACATGTGGAGAGAGAACAGCATCGCAAAAATGTGGGATTGGGAAATTCAGTGGGATTTTCAGGAAACACAATTAGTTCATTCCTGGAGCTTGGGGTGACTTGGGGAGAGGAATTGGAGAAGGAATGCCAGAAGTGTGGCCAAGAATCAGAGTGTGGGGGGACCTGTAGGCCCCGCTAAGAATTCGGGGTGTATTCTGAAGGCAGCAGGAGCCCATTCAGTGTTTTTAAACAGGGAAATAACTAGGTCAAATCTGTGTTTTAGAGGAATCACCGGCAGCAACATCAAGATGAACTGGAGTAAAGGGAGGCTAGACATATGAACCATTGGCCCTTCTGTGACTGGGGAGCGGAGGGATGGACCTTGAAGAAGTCATTCAGAGTAGCAATATTACCATGGAGAGAATTGAAAGAGTTGAAGCCAACATCAAGTTCCTGGTTTGGTTTGAGCATTGTGCGAGAAAACAGACAGGTGACCTAAGACAAGAAGCAGGTAGGAGGAAGGAGGGATTATTAACTCCACCTTGAATATCTGGGGTCTGAGGAACCAATGCATTTCCAAGGAGAGTCACTCTGTGCAGCCAGTAATATGAAGCAAGGAAGAGAATTGGGGCCAGAGATACAGTTTGGGGTGTGGTAGGTGGAGCCATTTGATTGGATGAGAAACCCAGAGTGATCACATGGAGAGAGAAGAGAAACAATGAGGCCCATGGGGAAATTGAGCTTTTCTTCCCTCCTTCCCCGCCCCCCCCGCCCCCACTTTTAAAGTTCAGTGCCTTTCTCCCTGTTATAAAAGTATCTGAAAACCAACAACAGGCCCAAGTAAGTGGAAATGACACTAAGTTTTGTTTTGTTTTGTTTTGTTTTGTTTTGTCTTTTCCAGAAATTCTCTAACTTCTGGCACTGGGAGAGGTGGGCCGGCACTCCCAGCCGCAGGACTGCTTCTCTAAGAGTTGACTGCTGTGTAGTTTGAGGTAATGCAAGCACTTTTGTGGAGTCAGCTCATTCAGGAGTTTACCGACAGCCCTTGAGATGTCTGCACACGAAACCCGGGTGCAGGAGCCAGCCCAGCACAAGGGGAAAGCTTGAGTCAGAGCATCAAAACAATGGAGCTTTCAAAATGCCTTTCGTTGTTAACTGTCTTGAAATGTCTGAAGGTTCTGTGACGCTGAGCAGTCTAAGCACTTTCTGGTAGTGACCAAAGGAGGGGATCCTCAGGCACAACACAGGCCTGGGACATGGGGGTGATGAAGTCTATGGGAACTCAGGCCGGGTAGCTATTTTTGAGTGAGTTCTTGGTGAAGGAGAGGAGTAAAAGAATTAGAAGTTGAAGAATGTCTGGAGAACAGATGAGTAGTTGCCAGAGGCAGGGGTGAGAGGTGGGTGAAGGTGGTCAAAAGGTACAAAAGGTACAAACTTCCAGTTATAAGATGAGTAAGTCCTGGAGATATAACGTATAGCATGGTGACTCTAGTTAACATTGTACCATATATTTGAAAGTTGCCGAGAGAGTAGATCTTAAAAGTTCTTATCACAAGAAAAAAAAAAAAAATCTGTGACTAAGTGTGGTGATAGATATTAACTAAATGTACTGTTGTGATCATTTCACAGTATCCACATAAGTCATTATGCTGTACACGTGAAACTAAAATGTCATGTCAATTATGTCTCAATAAAACTGGGGGAAAATAAAGGGGGGAAGCACCTGGCTGGCTTAGTCTATAGAGCATGTGGCTCTTGATTTTGGGGTCATGGGTTCGAGCCCCACATTAGGTATAGAGATTACTTAAGGAAATTAAAAAAAAAACCTGGAAAAAAAGAAATTGAAGAATGTAAGAACTTAAGGGAAAATAGTTAGTGAGGGATTCAACTCAACAGTGATCCCATGAATAATATCATTTGACTAAAATAAGTCATTACAGATAGCACGGTAAAGACAATAGCAGAAGTACTTGGCTTGGGAATATGGTCGGGCTGGGCTTTCTGGAGGATGTGGAGCTAGAAGTGGCCCTTTAGTGACAGGCAAGATTCAAATGGGAAGAAGGAGGCTGGATTATTACAGGGAGGAGGAATGGCATGAGCACAAAAGGACAAGCTTATATGTAAACTGAAATGGTAATTAGGCACGGTGGCTATTTTATTTTAATTTAATTTAATTTTTTTTTCTGTGTATAGTAAATGGTAGCAGCCAGTACAGGGATCAAGAAGACCCAAGGATGAAGATTTTCACTGATTGAAAGTGAGCTGGAATGGACATCTGCAGGAAGTACTGCACTAGAAGTCTCGGCGAGGTGCTCTGCCTATTTATGGGGGGCAAATAAAAGGTTTTCAGAAGACGATCATAGTAAGCGCCTTCCAGTTTTTTCCTGGTAATCACCGAAGAAGTTTTACTGACTGCCATGATTGTATTATACTACCAAGCAATAATAATAATATTAACAATATGTGTTAATATTTCAGTGCCTCTGATACACGGGTCACTGTTCTAAACTGATAAATGAATGATCTCATTTGATCTTTCTACAACACAATGATATAGACACTCTTATTTTCCCCATTTATAGATGAAGATACTGAGACACAACGAGGTTGAAAAACTTGCCCAGAGCCATGCAGAGCAGAAGAACCAGGATGGAACCCAGATGGGCTGCAGAGCCCGAGTCCTACTGTGTCTGAGAGTATGAAGGGTGCTCCATAATGTCTTCAGACTCTGAATAAAGCTTCTTAGTGTGAAGCTGGTATTGCTGCTGTGAAAAGGTCAACACGACAGCTATGCCTGTGTTAGCCTTTCCCTTCTCTGAATCAGCGTTTTCTGAGAAATGTAGCCTTGGGAGTGGTCATTTCCTCCATTGGAAATAAATCAGAGAAAAAGACCCCCCTCCCTCCTTACCCCTGCCTCTCTTGACATTATTCAAATATACTTCTTATTGCTCAGAGATATGAATCTACAGAATTCATTAAAAAACCAGTGCTTTCCCTTGAATCCCAAGAAATTCTGCTCATTGTGTCTTTCTCACCACCTTTCGCTTGGGGCACGTGTTGCTCATTTTTCTCCCATACCTGCCACCTGTAAGTCCAGGGTAGTCTTCCTGATGATTGGTTTACTTGGGATATTTGCTTATTCAGTTTTTCCTATTTGGGTGAGGTACCTCTGGGAAAAAGCTATTGGATGACCTACTTTTCAGTTCATTTCATAATTGCTGGGTGTCTACAAATGTACCACGTGACATATGAGGAGCTCTATCCTGCTTACTGTCATCTTACCCCAAGGGAGTCCTGAAAGCCCTTTCTAGACCAGTGGTCCAGCAGTACACACTGCCTCTACCCAGACAAACTCCCTTTCACGGGGAACCATAGTCTTGTGGAGATCAGGATTTCACACCACGTATCTCCTTTACACTGGCCTGAAGGTCAATATCCACCTTATCTTGACATTGAGGGTTGATGACGCTGACTCAAATGTGCACAAATATTTAGATGTAGTTGGTGGCCTATATTCCCTTTTTTTAAAATTTTTAAATGTTTTTATTTATTTTTCAGACAGAGACAGAGCATGAGCAGGGGAGGGGCAGAGAGAGAGGGAGACACAGAATCTGAAGCAGGCTCCAGGCTCTGAGCTGTCAGCATAGAGCCCAACACGGGGCTCAAACTCACAGACCATGAGATCATGACCTGAACTGAAGTTGGACACTTAACCGACTGAGCCACCCAGGTGCCCCTATATTCCTTTTTTTAAATAATTGACATTTCACGTTATATTGCTTTCAGGTGTACAACATAATGATTTGGTATTTGCACACATTGAGAAATGATCACAGAAAGTCTAGTTGCCATCCATTACCATTCACAGTTATGAAAAATTTTTTCCTTGTGATGAAGACTTTTAATATTTATTCTCTTAGCAACTTTCAAAGATGTGATACAGTATTATTAACTATAGTCTTCATGCTGTATACTACATCCCTGTGACTTATTTACTTTGTAAGTGGAAGTCTGTATCTCTTGACCTCCTTCACCCATTTTGTGCTCTTCCGCAGCCTCCGGCAACCAACAATCTGTTCTAGCTATGAGGTGAGGTTTGTTTTGTTTTTTAGAATCTAGGTATAAGTGAAATCATACAGTGTTTGTCTTTCTCTGTTTGACTTATTTCACTTAGCATAATGCCCTCAAGGTCCATCCATGTTGACTCAAATAGTAAGATTTCATTCTTTTTTATGGCTGAATATTATTCCATTGTGTGTGTGTGTGTGTGTGTGTGTGTGTGTGTGTGCGTGCGCGCGCACGCGCGCGATCACATCTTCTTTATCCATTCATCCATCAGTGGATGCTCAGGGGGCGTGTGGCTGTCTCAGTCGATGGAGCATGCAATCAACTCTCTGGGTTGTGAGTTCAAGTCCCATCTTAGGTGTAGAAATTACTTAAAAAAATAAAATCTTTTTAAAAAATGGATGCTTAGGCTGTTTCCATATCTTGGCTATTGTCAATGCTGCTATGAATATGTGGGTGCAGATATCTTTTCAAATCAGTGTTTTCACTTTCTTGAGATAAATACTGGATCAGAAGTGGAGTTACTGGATTAATTGGTAGTTCTGTTTTTTAATAATTTCCTTAAAAAATTATTTTTTAATTGCACCAAGAATCATAAAATACCTAGGAATAAACCTAACCAAAGATGTAAGAGATCTGTATGCTGAAAGCTATAGAGCTTATGAAGGAAATTGAAGAAGATACAAAGAAATGGAAAAACATTCTGTGCCCATGGATTGGAAGAATATATATTGTTAAAATGTCAATACTACCCAAAGCTATCTACACATTCAACGCAATCCCAATCAAAATTGCACCAGCATTCTTCTCGAAGCTAGGACAAGCAATCCTAAAATTTGTATGGAACCACAAAAGACCCCGAATAGCCAAAGTAATATTGAAGAAGAAGACCAAAGCGGGAGGCATCACAATCCCAGACTTTAGCCTCTACTACAGAGCTGTAATCATCAAGACAGCATGGTATTGGCACAAAAACAGACGCATAGACCAATGGTATAGAATAGAGACTCCAGAATCGGACCCACAAATGTATGGCCAACTAATCTTTGACAAAGCAGAAAAGAATATCCAATGAAAAAAAAAGTCTCTTTAACAAATGGTGCTGGGAGAACTGGACAGCAACGTGCAGAAGAATGAAACCAGACCACTTTCTTACACCATTCACAAAAATAAACTCAAAATGGATGCAGGACCTGAATGTGAGACAGGAAACCATCAAAACCCTAGAGGAGAAAGCAGGAAAAAACCTCTCTGACCTGAGCCACAGCCATTTCTTACTTGACACATCTCCAAAGGCAAGGGAATTAAAAGCAAAAATGAACTGTTGGGATCTCATCAAGATAAAAAGCTTCTTTACTGCAAAAGAAACAATCAACAAAACTAAAAGGCAACACTTGTTATTTCTTGTCTTTTTGACATTGGCCATTCTGACAGGTGTGAGGTGACCTCTCATTGTGATTTTTGATTTGCATTTCTCTGATGTAGGTACTCTTGCTACTAGCTGAGATAAGTCCTGGGCTTGATTTTCCACAAACTGAGGACTTGTTCTAAATCGAACACAGTGTCATACCCAGATAATTGTGACGAATTCCTGCACTTTAGAAGTCGAGAGGACTCAGTTGAGAGAGGAAAGTAAATAGAATGTTACCTGACCAGGTAGAGTGGTGGTATTAGATACTGAGAAGAGTGGGGACTCCTTCTATGTTCAAATTTTAGCCCTCCACCCACTAACTGTATGACTGCGGGCAACTAAATCTTTCTAAGCCTCAGATTCTCCATCTGTGAATGGTAGTTACTAGTACGTAACTTGCAGCATCATTATGTTTAAATAAAATGCTTAGCACAGTGCCTGGCAAATAGTAAGAGCTAAGTAAATATTGTTTTTAAGTAGGAAAAATACAGATTTGTGGGTTCCTTGGGTATTTCATTTTATTGCCGTCTCAGTTGATGACAACTCTACTTTCTTGGTTGCTCAGGACAAAAAGTTTGGAGTCATTCTTGGCTCCCTTTTCCCCTTTCATCTCCCATATCTAATCTATGTTGGGAAATCTTAATTCTACTGAAAAAATTTTTTACTAATGTTTATTTATTTTTAAGAGAGAGAGACAGAATGTGAGTGGGGGAGGGGCAGAGAGAGAGGGAGACACAGAATCCAAAGCAGGCTCCAGGCTCCGAGCTGTCAGCACAGGGCTCGAACTCATGAACTGTGAGATTGTGACCTAGCAGAAGTCAGAGGCTTAACTGAGACACCCAGGCGCCTCTGTTAACTCTACTTATAAAACGTATGTAGAATCTGACTACTTCTCAGCCCATCCACTGCCAACACCTGTTCCAAGCCACTATAAATTTTAGACTAGATTACCACATTAGCCTCCAACCCGGTTTGTTTCATCCTTACCCTCATGTCAGGTCAGGTCACTGTGCTTAAAACCCTTTATGACTCCCCATGTTTCTGTGAAGTAAAAGTATACTTCACAGCATTGACAGCAGCCTTGTGAGGTGCTATGCCCGATGCCCACTCTTCTCTTTGCTCTCTGATCTCTTGCACACTCTCCCTCTCCAGCCACACTGGCCTCTTGCAGGCATTCTCCTGCCACAGGGTCTTGGCTGCACTCTGCCTGGAATGCTCTTCCCCAGATACCTGCAAATTTGACTCCTGCTCAACTTGTTATCTTTTTTTTTTTATGTTTATTTTTGAGAGAGAGAGAGAGAGAGGGAGAGAGAACGGGGGAGGGGCAGAGAGAAGGGGAGACACAGAATCCAAAGCAGGCTCCAGGCTCCAAGCTGTCAGCACAGAGCCTGACGTGGGGCTCGAACTCATGAACCATGAGATCATGACCTGAGCCGAAGTTGAATGTTTAACTGACTGAGCCACCCAGGTGCCCCTCAAGTTGTTATCTTCTTAAATGAGGCCCACCTTGACCTCCCTATTTCAAATCATGTCTTTCACTACCGCTGCCCATCCCCTCCTCGAGTTATGCAGAAGAAATTTATCCAGCCCCGCTACAAATGGTTCTCAACTACTCTCATCTTACGACTGATTAGAGCAGACCTCCTTCCTTCTGGAGAGTTCCAACATTCTGGCTTTGGACTCAGGTCAATGAATCCAAGTGCTTATAGTCAGTGGCTTTTACAGCAAAATGCTGGCCATGATATATGCTGTACTCGAATAAGTAGAAATAAACATAGGAGAACATTTCTCAAGAGGGACTTTTAATACATAGATATGTCTTGACATTTGAGAAGAATCCACTTTTATTGTTACATAATTTAAATCTAGTTTAAAAAAATTTTTTTAATGTTTGTTTATTTTTGAGAGAGAGAGACAGAGCATGAGCAGGGGAGGGGCAGAGAGAGAAGGAGACACAGAATCCGAAGCAGGGTTCGGGCTCCGAGCTTGTCAGCACAGAGCCCGACATGGGGCTCGAACCCATGAATCGCAAGATCACGACCTGAGCCGAAGTCGGACACCTAATCGACTGAGCCACCCAGGTGCCCCAAATTTAAATCTAGTGTTATAGCCATTGTTCATAATTTGGCTTTTCAGGAAATGAAAACACCTATTATACTTAAATAGATGAATTAGTCTTTCCTATTATAATCTTATGTATTGTCTCTCCCAAGTAGACATAATTTTATCTTTTAAAAAATCATATAATAAGGTTAAAGTTCCTTTATTCTGATAATGTACACTCCTACTTCACACATTATTGTTTCCGTTCCCTAAAGGTTTTGAATGAGCCATATCAAACAAATAGGCCTAGAAGTGAGCAGGAAAATCCTTCATTGCAGAGAAGAAGGGACCAATAAGAAAAGAGTCTCTGGATTTGAGACCATGCACCACCCGCGCAACTCCTCCATTTTGTTGTTGAAGAACTACAGACCTAGCAAGTGTAAGTGGCTTGCATGATCTCACTCGGTTGACCATAAGCTGAT